CTTCAAAGTCATGGCATCGTAGCTCAGTACACAACCCTTGGGACACCTAAGCAAAATAGGGTCTTAGAAAGAAGAAATAGGACGATGATGGACATGGTTAGAAGTATGATGTGCAAGGTTGATTTGCCATTATTTCTATAGGGAGAGGCAGTCAAAACTACCAACTATATTGTTAATCGAGTACCTAAAAACCCTTTTCAAACTTTGGACATACATGTAAAAGACCTAGTCTAAATTGCTTACATGTTTGGGGATGAAAAGCCGAAGCCAAGATTTATAACCCTAATGGCAAGAAACTTGATCCCAAGACACTCTTGTTACTTCATGGGATATGCTAAGAGATCTAACGAGTTTCGATTCCATTGCCCTAATCACAACATGAAGATTGTTGAAACTAGAAAGGCATTATTCTTGGAGTTACAGATGGATACTGATTCAAGTATTAGAACTAATGATTTTGTTTTTGAAGAAGAGGGAGAAATGGGGAATGGAGAAGAAAATGAAATGGATCATCATCAGCCTACAACAACAGTGGTTGAGATCACTGATCTAAGCAAAGAATGTGACACTGATGATGATCGAGCCATGAACTTAGGAAATGAAATTGAAGCATCAACCCATGGAGAGTAACAACCAAGAGTGGTTATAGCAAATATTGAAGCAGCAGTTGTAGATGACAATGATCAGCGAGGACACCAAGAAGCTGAAGTTGTCAATAATATTTCGTGCCCTGGAGAAAGTCAACTAGGGTTAGAAAATCAACACACTCAGCTGACTTCGTGTATATGGCAGAAACAGAATTCAATATGTCAAAGTTCGATGATCCAGATAACTAAAAAGAAGTTATTTCGAGAATAAAGGCAGACAAGTGGATGGAAGCTGTGAAAAGTGAGCTTTCTTCATTGGAGTAAAATGAAGTATGAAGTCTTGTAGAGCCGAGTGAATAAGTCAAACTAATAGGTTGTAAGTGGGTATTTAAAACCAAAAGGAACTTAAAGGTAATGTAGAAAGACACAAGGCAAGATTGGTGGCTAAGGGGTTTACTCAGAGAGAGGAAATTGATTATAAAGAAACTATCTACTAAGGATACTTTCAGAGTTGTAATGGCAATAATAACTTGTTTTTACATCAAATGGATGTAAAGACAACTTCCTTGAATGGTGAATTGGAAGAGGATATCTACATGGTGCAACTAGAAGGATTAAAAGAGGAAGGGAGAGAAAACAGGATTTGCAAGTTTAAGAAATCCATTTATGGATTGAAACAGGCATGGTACTTGAAGTTTCATCGTGTTGTCTGGCTTCGCAGAAAATCCATCTGATGCTTGTATATATTTGAAAATCTATAGGAGCAACTTATGATACTTTATGTGGATGATATACTGCTAGCATCCAAAAGACATGAGCAATTGCATGTTATGTCCTCTTCTAGACGGCTTTGTTTTATGCATTGAGACACTGTTATTGAATTTTCTTAACTACTGTTGGTTGATTAAGTTTTCCCTAAGGTTTAGTTATGATGATATACATTGTATATATCAGGATGACAATTTAACTTCTTGTTTTAAGAATGCAACAAAAGGTCTTTGATACGAAGCATGAAGAAAGACTGCATGGGCAGTCATGAAGAGGACCACATGTTAAATGTGTTATAGTACATGTCCAGTCATATTTAGGTGTAGTTCATATCATAATGGTGTTTTATGTCTGACTGAGTTTCACGGATGTGATTATGGGGATGGTATTCATAAAGATTGAATGCAAATCCTTTTAGTTCTCTCTGAATACTCAGTAATGACAAAAACATGAACTCAGGATCTTGTTGAGATCAAACTCGTGGCCATTTAAGTATGATCACGAATATGGAGATAACGTGATAAACAAGTGTTAGCCCTAGTGGGAGAATGTAAGACTTAAGAAAGCTGCACACTTGTTTCACGTGTGTTTGAAGGTTGGGATCATAGAGATTGAGTGTAACAGTGTTTGTAAGCTATTTTTGAGTGTGTACATTTAGGTTTCGTAGCTTTGACACTCCTGATAAACATATATATTGATAGATGTGCTTACTGATATAAACACTTGGGTAAAGTAGTGATAAGGTTGAGTTTGATAAGGATTGATATTAGGGGAATCGTCTTACTGATCACCACTGCATGCAGTATAAATAAAGGGTCCCTGCACTCTCAGTTGATATGCAATATAAGTGCCTCACGCTCCATAGAACTGAGTAGTTGCATTCAGAGATTGGCGAGTAGCAGAAGACTCTTAACTTCAACCCTAGCAAGCATGGATTTTTCAGGTTAGTGGTTAATTATTTGGTTTAGTGAACAAGTTATGTGTTAATTTAATCTTATAGGTCAGGTTTAGGGTCACATGAAATTCATCCAAAATTCATTTAAATCTTGTCAAGTACGCGTAAATGTATGAGTACAAAATTTCGAGGCTCAGACTTGTAACCCTTGGAGGAACACTCCATTTCTTAAACGGCTCATACCATTGTGAAACATGTGCAAATTGGACTTGCCCAATAGTGTAATTATCCGCAACCAAATAACCAAACAAGGGAGAGAGAGAGCACAATCATTGTGAAAACAAACAGGTGATTACAGTGATGATCTCGTATTTGGATGTCGCATAAGAAATAACAAATCCGCTTCCTTTGTCTGTCTTGACAATCTGCGACTCCCAACGGTAAGTAGTCAAACCCCAATTTTCTACTTTTTACTCTCTTTTGAAATTTCAGAATCAGTTGAGCTCAAATCTGAAAAAAAAAAAAAATTGAGCCAAAATGCTCAAGTCTCTTTAGTTTAGTTGAGGCAGTAAAACTGTAGATCCTTGAGTTGATTTTCATCTACCTTAACAGATATCAATGACTGGTATAGTGGCACAAATATGTGGCATGACGTGAATTTGTTCCAGAAGAAACCAGGAGGAGGTATGAAATTTTCATTTTCTTTCACCTTTTTTTTTGGAGAAGAGATAAGATAATTACACTAAATTCATCTAAAATATGGAGAGGGCGGAGCACACTGTTCTTGAGCCAACTTGGTTAAACTTGGATCTGCTAGTAAAGATCATAGTTCATTACTAGCTAGTTAATTATGGATCCCTCCCTTTCTATTTCTGATGAATGAAACCACAGGGCCTTCCCAAATTATCTTCTGTATGAGGTCTTTACGGTTGTTGGTATATGGTCTTATCGTTATGATTATGAACCACAGAGATCTTTTCCTTCTGCTTCTAATCTTTTGCTTGAATCAAATCAGTAGTCAGGGAGCTCAAGGACAAAATTTTTATGGGTGGTCTTTGTTTTTCGTTTATGATGAGTGCTTATTTGTTCCATATTGACAATTTCCCTTGCAGTTGGCACGTAATATTGCCGTATAGTATTTCCCCCGACCAACTACTAGTCCTCGTCAATATGTAAGTATCATGAATTTTTCATTCTTATTGGAACAGTAATTGACGAAGGATTTTGATTTGTTTCGGGCATGGAGATTGTGGAATGAAGGGAATTCTTTCGAACTGACTGATGCATGCTTAGGAAGCTCAGGCACACTATTGAAAGTGTTGCGTTGCATCCACATTGGTCTCTTATGTGCGCAACATCATCCTGACGATAGGCCAAGCACAGTGTCTGTGGTTATAAAGTTGGGAAGTGAGACTACTTTGGCTCAGCCGAAACAATCTAGTTTCCTCATGGAAAAGGAATCACATGAAGCATGTCCTAATTCAGGTAAACAGTCAGCTTCAACCAACGAGCAGTTGAAACCAATTGGTTTTATATTTTTTATACTTTATCTTTTTTTTTATAAATTTCACATTAAGAAAAGAACGGATCTTGCATATACTTATAAGTAATGGATTATTCCAACCTCAACTTTGTTCAAAAAGAGAGAGCACAACATTGTGGAAACATAGATTACTCATTGCGGAACAAAACCCAATTGCCACCAAGTTTACAAGTGAAACATCAATTAATAAATGCACCACATGGACCCCATTTTATGCATTCTATTTTCAACAACATCTATGCAATAGGCGGCAGCAAACTAAATATTATAGGATTTGGATCCTCTCCTGAGCTAATGGAGAGGATCCTCCTGACCAACTATCGTGGATCGTTGGATTTTTATCCAACAGTTACAAATAAGGAGGTTCCTTTAAAGTTATAATAATTATAGTCGTTGAATAAAAATCAAACGGCCCACGATTATTGGTCAGGTCGATCCTCTCCATTGGCTCAGGAGAGGATCCAAATCCAATATTACAAGGTTATACTATTTACACGCTTATTTTTTACCAATTTTTATGGCTCAAAGCTTCCTCCATCACTTGAAACTAATGTGGTTCCATCAACGATAGATTGCGAGGGTGTAATGTTGCGAACAAAATAAACATCAACCTGGTACAGTGTTAATTAGGCAGAAAACAAACATGACCCGTGGAAGTTTTGTTCCCGGCCTACCAGTTTCATACAAGTCAAAGATAAGATTAAAAAGGATTCTTGTGGTTGATAATTTGGGAGAAGGCCATATACCAACAACTGCGACGAATTGACACATATGTAGTTAATAAGACCCTAGTGTTTTCTCTCTTCAGTCTTCTGGAAGGCCAAGAGTGCGCACGGCTACCCTCTGTTGACTGGTAGGCACGTCATCTTTATAAAATCCAGGGCAACCGTTGATCATTCCAGATTCTGCTATGTTGGCGAAGGATAAGCAATTAAGCATAATAATATATCCACAATTATTTGTCGTATGCATTTGGATGGAAAATGACTGAATCACAACAGTCTTTTTGTTCTGATTATATCTTCGACTTGAAGAATACGATTACCATTAGGCATTGAGTTCAAAAACCAAAGGAATTCAATGGGGGGTTTTGGTTTTCTGCTCATCTGTACTAAATAATGATACGGTGTGTGAAAATTATTTGGTACGTAGGCTTCACAACATATGTAACCAATTTGTGCAAACCATGATACAATCAAGACCAATCTCAGAAATTCACGAGCAATTCCCCCCATCCCGTGTACTTTTTATTTTGGTAAATATACGTATTAAATACAGTGAAATTCTTACAGGTAAATAACAACAATCCTATTTCATTGTAGCGATACAAATCAAGATAATTAAAGCACAAAGGAAGGGGTAACTAATTAACTACTTGTGTGCATAATGGTTCCAAGGGTCTAACAAACCATTAACGTTGAATCATTCTGATTTTCCTACAAGCATAAATTAAAGGGAACAATTTTTTTTCCATCGTAGTAGCAAATTAAGACAATTAATTTGTTTTTTCCTACAAGCATAATTCAGTGGAACTTTTACGGGTAGCACATTAAATCAAATAAATTCTACCAACCAACTAAGATGATCTTCACATTCCACGGGTTCACAATCTTTGTTGACTCCACATTATCATCTTCGAATCGCATGAAAAACCCCATAACTGCATCACAAGGCAACATACACAAACAACACAATACATATCAGCTAGAATGCGCTTTCAAAAGTCACATAAAAGAAATTCAGAAAGCTAAAATCTCAATGACCAAGATAACAATTTCTTAGTGCAATTAAAACCTTAGAACTGAAAATTTCCACTTACTAAATCTCAACAAGACGAAAACCACCACAACCCAGTCCTAATCCTCTGCCTTCAACGTTGAGGGCTTATCCCTAACCTCATAAGCAGTCACCACCTGAAAATTAAAAGCTTCTTTTGAGTTTTCAAATTTAGTATTTAGTTTTCACTTTATGAGTATTAAAGGAGCTTTGGTTTTTTTTCTTCTCAAACTATTGAACTTTACTTGTTTTTTTTTATTCTTATTTTTATTTTGGAAAAATTTTGACTGTAGCAAAATTACAATCAAAACTCCCTCAACTTTTATTAAAACGAGAAGCCTAAAAGTACAAGCAAACCAAAGGCTCAACTACAACTATAAACAAACAGAAAAGGGCCGAAACCAACAGAAAAAAGGAGGCCCCACAACAGTGAAACCCAAAAAAACACCCAAGAGCCAATCGAGAAGCTTCTGCTGAAAACTCCTCCACCGACAAAGATCCAGGCCAGCCACAGGAAACGTTATACACCATTGAGTAACGTCATCTTAGACACCACCGCCAACCCTGAACAGCAATCAGATCACAGCACTAACAGGTGATAGTTGGTACCAAAGAGGGATTAGCCAGCTACTGGGAAAAAGCTCGGGGAAACTCACGAGTAACACTGCCAAAAAAAACAGACAATAAGGAGAACATGATGGTGTGGGAAACACCCGAGCCAGGACCAACACCCCAACTCTACACACGAACTCAAAAGGAACGGTTGAAGATCGGACTGAGGAAGGGATGGGGAAAGGAATACCAACGGAAGATGAAGAAGAAGACAGGCCTGAAGGAAAAATAGGGAGAAGCATCAGAAGAATAAAACAGAAGAAGAAAAGGAAAAGAGAAGAACACAACAAAGAATGGGAGAAAATAAGAAAACAGAAGAAGAAAAGGAAAAGAGGCAACTGACTCCAGCCAAAGCCAGAGTCAGCGCCTGAGAAGGTGGGCAAGATGAAGACCCTCACCAAAAGGGGAAGAAAACTCTTGCAGAGGAGATAAGGTCTCTCACGGAAGGAGAGAAAGAAAAAAGGCAATTTAATTATATTTGAACTTTACTTTCTTTAGGACTAGTTTAACTATCAAAGTTTAAGTTTTCACACATGTCATTGTCACATACAGTGGAAAGCTACTGCCCAAGCCTACTTTGATGAGGCTAGATGGTTCTGCAAACAATGCATCCCAAGCATGGAGGAGTATATACACGTTGCAACAGGTTCTGTTGGTAACACCTTACTTTCAACTGTATTTGTGGTTCACATGGAAGATAATGTAACGAATGAGATATTTTAGTGGTTGTCCAATTGGCAATAAACCCCAAAAATCTCGAGCTTCCAATATCATTTTTGGGCTCATCGATGCCATTGGGGGCATAAGGTACAATTCTCAATGAAAAATGAAAGCTTCTTTTTTATTAGTTTAGGGCCACTTGAGAAGAATTAGATTAGTTTAGATTTAGGTTTAGAGTTCAGGGTTCACTAAAAAATGAAAAATTAAATGCTTCTTTTTGAGTTTTCAAAATTTAGTTTTTAGTTTTCACTTTATGGGTATTAAAAGAGCTTTTTTTTTCTTAAACTATTGAACTTTACTTGTTTTTTTTTTTTGTTTTTTTGTTTTTTTTTTTTTTTTTTGAAAAAGTTTGATTGTAGCAAAATTACAGTCAAAAGTCCCTCAACTTTTATTAAAACAACAAGCCCAAAAGTACAAGCAAACCAAAGGCCCAACTACAAATATACACAAATAGAAAAGGGCCGAAACCAATAGAAAAAAGAAAGAGGCCCCACAACAGTGAAACCCAAAAAACACCCACCAGCCAATCGAGAAGTTTCTACTGAAAACTTATCCACCGAGAAAGATCCAGGCCAGCCATAGGAAACGTCATCCACCACTGAGCAACGCATCTAAGACACCACCGCCAACCCCGAACAGCAATCAGATCACATCCATTAACAGGTAATAGTTGGCACCAAATAGGGATTAGCCAGTTACCGGGAAAAAGCTAGGGGGAAACTCACGAGCAACACTGCCGAAAAAAGCAAACAATAAGGAGAATGTGGTGGTGTGGGAAACTCCCGAGCCAGGAACAAGACCCCAGCTCTACACACGAACTCAAAAGGAACTATGGCTGAAGATTGGACTGAGGTAGGGATAGGGAGAGGAATATCGACTGAAGATGAAGAAGAGGACATGCCTGAGGGAAAAATAGGGAGAAGCATCAGAAGAAGAAAAGGAAAAGAGAAGAACACAGTAGAGAAAGGGAGAAGAGAAGAAAACAAAAGAAGAAAAGGAAAAGAGGCAATCGACTCCAGCCAAAGCCAGAGTCGACGCCTGAGAAAGTGGACAAGATGAAGACCCTCATCAAAAGGGGAAGAAAACTCTCACAGAGGAGATAAGGTCTCTCAAGGAAGGAGAGAAAGAAAAAGGCAATTTAATTATATTTAAACTTTACTTTCTTTAGGACTAGTTTAACTATCAAAGTTTAAGTTTTCACACATGTCATTGTCAAATACAATGGAAAGCTACTGCCTAAGCCTATTTTGATGAGGCTAGATCGCTATGCAAATGATGCATCCCAAGCATGGAGGAGTATATACATGTTGCAACGGGTTCTGTTAGTAACACCCTACTTTCAATTGTATTTGTGGTTCACATGGAAGATCAAGCGGGCGATTTATTCACCAAAGATAATGGGGTAAGTGCTCTAGAGATTGAGAAGTTGAGGGGACGGTGCGTCTTCTTTTCGAAAATGAACCTCTCCCTCTTCTCCCAGACCGTTGGGTGTGGTATCCCTAATTAGCATTTGGGTTATGGAGAAACAACCGGTTGCCATGAAGAAGAGCTGCTAAGTCATTTTCATTTATTCAGACCAAAAGGCGAAGCAGCCTGTAACTTGGAAAAACGAATCTTTTTATGAGCGACTCGAACCTCCACCCATTTCGGCTTCGGTATGGGAAATTTTGAACGGTCATTGATGGCTGAATCCTTTCCACGATTAGTGAAACGTTTAGGTAAGAGAAGCCACTCTAGATTGTGAGGAGTGAGAGGTCTAACCCTTTCCAGTTGCAATGCAAGACAGGAATTTGCATTGCCCAATGAATTAATTTCGAACAACATACCTCCATACCTACCAACTCGTCACTAAACTCTAGATTGTGAGGAGAGAGAGCTCTAATCCTTACTCAATTTATATTCCCCCTTCCAATCTCCATCGGTAACCAAGACGTCTTTATACCAGCCTTTGTCCTGACAAGGAACATCCTGGATATATGACCCCCAAAAAAGATTAGGTCTGGCCGTGAAATAATAGTGGATGTCAAAACCCATCCTCATGCAGTGCAACATCCTGATGCAGTGTAACATTGTTCCCCACCTCACCATTGTCCCCTATACCACCACCGTACTCATACCCACCCTGCCCAAAAATTATACAAATTTCCTAACGTACACTACAAAAAAATGGGTCTTATGGAAAGCTCAAAACGCGTTACAAAAGTAGCAAAACGCATTATAACAAAGTGGTGTCGTAAATGTTTGGTCGATTATATGCGACGCTTTGAGTGCATCACAAATACTATTTACACGGGTTTGCATCACAAATAAGTGGCCTCGGGTTTAAAAAAAATAAAAAATTGGGCATCAAATGGGACGCCACAACGACATTATTTTTAATAGCTTCACCAAAATTATTTCATGTGAAATTTACTATAGGTTCCAAACTAAAATAACAATCCAACCTCACTGATACTATTCATAATTTACAAATAAATAATAATTTATTTGGTTGCTTCGAGAATGAAGAATGTATTTGACTTCTAGTATTTAAACATATATACATTATCCTGAACATTTATACCATCTATAATCCTACAGGAATTATGTCATTCCAAATTGGCTTTTTAGTTCGATAACTAACTTCCTCCCTTCAACCCTGCCAGTAAATTATGTCACTCCTTGCAGCAGCTCTACTCTTAGTCCTTTGCATAGAGGCTCAAATTAAAACAGAAGCATGTCCACCTACCGACTAGGAATTAAAAGTATCTAATTCAATGGAACTCTTACTGGTAACACATTAATGTTTCAGTGTCGTCTCCTTTCCCTTTTCCTTTTCCAGTGTAGGTTGTGTGAAGATCTCCATTGTCCACCCCTATTCTCCGCATCAAATTCAAACATCAAAGCCTTTGCAACAGTGCAAGAATTAAAGTTATTGCAAACACAAGGTCGGCAAATAATTTGGGAAGCAAAAAGAAAAAACTGCAGCTCTGCTTACCAATGAGAGGTACAATGTTCTTGATATACAATTGAATATGAAAGTTAACAAGTTGAACTCCAATAAACTTGGCAAGCACTCTGAGAGGCATATCACTGCAAACAAGGAATATGCAGTTAGAAGCACAGGATAAGTGATAAAACCATGAGAGAACACTTTCATATAAGACAAGCTATTAACAAAAAAGAGTTTCCATTTGCAATAACAAGTGTGTCTTCCTTTTTCTATGGAAATCTTAAATAATGATACGGTGTGTGAAAATTATTTGGTACGTAGGCTTCACAACATAGGTAACCAATTTTGTGCAAACCATGATACAATCAAGACCAATCTTAGAAATTCACGAGCAATTCCCCCCATCCCGTTTACTTTTTATTTTGGTAAATATACATATTCGATACAGTGAAATTCTTACAGGTAAATAACAACAATCCTATTTCATTGTAGCGATACAAATCAAGATAATTAAATCACAAAGGAAGCGGTAACTAATTAACTACTTGTGTGCATAATGGTGCCAGGGGTCTAACAAACCATTGACGTTGAATCATTCTGATTTTCCTACAAGCATAAATTAAAGGGAACCATCTTTTTTCCATCGTAGCAGCAAATTAAGACAATTAATTTGTTTTTTCCTACAAGCATAATTCAGTGGAACTTTTACGGGTAGCACATTAAATCAAATAAATTCTACCAACGAACCGAGATGATCTTTTTCCATCGCAGCAGCAAATTAAGACAATTAATTTGTTTTTTCCTACAAGCATAATTCAGTGGAACTTTACGAGTAGCACATTAAATCAAATAAATTCTACCAACGAACCGAGATGATCTTCACATTCCACGGGTTCACAATCTTTGTTGACTCTACATTATCATCTTTGAATCACATGAAAAACCCCATAACTGCATCACAAGACAACATACACAAACAACACAATCCATATCAGCTAGAATGCGCTTTCAAAGGTCACATAAAAGAAATTCAAAAAGCTAAAATCTCAATGACCAAGATAACAATTTCTTAGTGCAATTAAAACCTTAGAACTGAAAATTTCCACTTACTAAATCACAACAAGAAGAAAACCACCACAACCCAATCCCAATCCTCTACCTTCAACGTTGAGGGCTTACCCCTAACCTTATAAGCAGTCACCACCTGAAAAATTAAAAGCTTCTTTTTGAGATTTCAAAATTTAGTATTTAGTTTTCACTTTATGGGTATTAAAGGAGCTTCAGTTTTTTTCTTCTCAAACTATTGAACTTTACTTGTTTTTTTTATGTTTGGAAAAAGTTTGACTGTAGCAAAACTACAGTCAAAACTCCCTCAACTTTTATTAAAACAACAAGCCCAAAAGTACAAGGAAACCAAAGGCTCAACTACAACTATACACAAACAGAAAAGGTCCGAAGTCAACAGAAAAAAGGAGGCCCCACAACAGCGAAACCCAAAAAAACACCCAATAGCCAACCGAGAAGCTTCTACTGAAAACTCCTCCACCGACAAAGATCTAGGCCAGCCACAGGAAATGTCATACACCACTGAGCAACCCGTCTCAGACACCACCGCCAACCCCGAACAGCAATCAGATCACAGCACTAACAGGTGATAGTTGGCACCAAAGAGGGATTAGCCAGCTACCGGGAAGAAGCTCGGGGAAACCCACGAGCAACACTGCCGAAAATAGCAGACAATAAGGAGAACATAGTGATGTGGTAAACACCCGAGCCAGGAACAACACCCCAGCTCTACACACGAACTCAAAAGGAACGGTTGAAGATCGGACTAAGTAAGGGATAGGGAGAGGAATACTGACGGAAGATGAAGAAGAGGACAGGCCTGAAGGAAAAATAGGGAGAAGCAGCAGAAGAATAAAATAGAAGAAGAAGGAAAAGAGAAGAACACAGCAAAGAAGGGGAGAAAATAAGAAAACAGAAGCAGAAAAGGAAAAGAGGCAACCAACTCCAGCCAAAGCCAGAGTCGGCGCCTGAGAAGATGGGCAAGATCTAGACCTTCACCAAAAAGGGAAGAAAACTCTCACAGAGGAGATAAGGTCTCTCACGGAAGGAGAGAAAGAAAAAAGGCAATTTAATTATATTTGAACTTTACCTTCTTTAGGACTAGTTTAACTATCGAAGTTTAAGTTTTCACACATGTCATTGTCAAATACAGTGGAAAGCTACTGCCCAAGCCTACTTTGATGAGGCTGGATGGTTATTCAAATGATGCATCCTAAGCATGGAGGAGTATATACACGTTGCAACGGGTTCTATTGGTAACACCTTACTTTCAACTATATTTGTGGTTCACATGGAAGATAATGTAACGAATGAGATATTTCAGTGGTCGTCCAATTAGCAATAAACCCTAAAAATCTCCAGCTTCCAATATAAATTTTGGGCTCATGGATGACATTGGGGGCATAACGTGCAATTCTCAATAAAAAATGAAAGCTTCTTTTTTATTAGTTTAGGGCCACTTGCGAAGAATTAGATTAGTTTAGATTTAGGTTTAGAGTTTTTCAGTAAAAAATGAAAAATTAAACGCTTCTTTTTGAGTTTTCAAAATTTAGTTTTTAGTTTTGCACTTTATGGGTATTAAAAGGGCTTTAGTTTTCTTCTTCTTAAACTATTGAACTTTACTTGTTTTTTTTTTTTTTTTTTTGGGAAAAAAGTTTGACTGTAGCAAAATTATAGTCAAAACTCCCTCAACTTTTATTAAACAACAAGTCCAAAAGTACAAGCAAACCAAAGGTCCAACTACAAATATACACAAATAGAAAAAGGCTGAAACCAATAGAAAAAAAGAAAGAGGCCCCACAACAGTGAAACCCAAAAAAACACCCACCAGCCAATCAAGAAGCTTCTACCGAAAACTCATCCACCGACAAAGATTCAGGCCAGCCATAGGAAACGTCATCCACCATTGAGCAACGCGTCTAAGACACCACCGCCAACCCTGAACATCAATCAGATCACAGTCATTAACAGGTGATAGTTGGCACCAAAGAGGGATTAGCCAGTTACCGGGAAAAAGCTCGGGGAAACCCACGAGCAACACTGCCGAAAATAGAAAACAATAAGGAGAACGTGGTAGTGTGAGAAACACCCGAGCCAAGAACAACACCCCAACTCTACACACAAACTCAAAAGGAACTATGGCTGAAGATCGGATTGAGGAAGGGATGACGAGAGGAATACCGATGGAGGATGAAGAAGAGGACATGCCTGAGGGAAAAATAGGGAGAAGCATCAAAAGAAGAAAAAGAAAAAAGAAGAACACAATAGAGAAGGGGAGAAGAGAAGAAAACAGAAGAAGAAAAGGAAAAGAGGCAATCGACTCCAGCCAAAGCCATAGTCGGCGCCTGAGAAGGTGGACAAGATGAAGACGCTCACCAAAAGGGGAAGAAAACTCTCAAAGAGGAGATAAGGTCTCTCAAGGAAGGAGAGAAAGAAAAAGGCAATTTAATTATATTTGAACTTTACTTTCTTTAGGACTAGTTTAACTATCGAAGTTTAAGTTTTCACACATGTCATTGTCAAATATAGTGGAAAGCTACTGCCCAAGCCTACTTTGATGAGGCTAGATGGCTATGCAAACGATGCATCCCAAACATGAAGGAGTATATACACGTTGCAACGGGTTCTGTTGGTAACACCTTACTTTCAACTGTATTTGTGGTTCACATGGAAGATAATGTAATGAATAAGATATTTTAGTGGTTGTCCAATTGGCAATAAACCCTAAAATTCTCAAGCTTCCAATATCATTTTTGGGCTCATGGATGACATTGGGGGGCATAAGGTACAATTCTCAATACATTGAATAATATAAGCTATATTAAAGTTACAAAATTTCTCTTTAAACCATCTTCAACATTTGGATTAAAACCTAAATTTTGTAATCAAGAAACAGTTTTTTTTTTTCTCCAATAATTTTAAGTTAAATTTTTAGCCTAAGATTATTAAAATAAATTTAGACTAATTTTTTTTTTTTGGTAACTTTTTTCAAATAAAATTTATGTAGATTATCATAATTTATTTTTAAGAACATTTTAACCTAAAAATATTTAGATTCTAAGAAAAATTAAAAATTCACTAAATTGACACTATGAAACATGTATTTATAGAGTTTTTAGGTGAATTTATTTAAATATTTATTTAATTGTTTTAGCGCTTGGATTTAATTTTGGAAAGTTAGATTTTTTTATTATTATTTTTTTTTTACTGTTAGTTTTGATTATGTTTGATCTCAGAATTTTAAATTGCTCAAAGTTTAGGTTATTACCCAAAACTTATTTTAGAAAGAGGTAGGCATGTGCTTTCTAGCATTGATTGCTATATGAAGCAATATAAGGTGTCCGAGCAAGAGACACTTGATGTATTTAACAAACAAGTAATGGATATGTGGAAGGGAGTTCCGAGACCTATTGCCGTGCAAGGGTTATATGAAGCAATATAAGGTGTCCGAGCAAGAGACACTTGATGTATTTAACAAACAAGTAATGGATATGTGGAAGGGAGTTCCGAGACCTATTGCCGTGCAAGGGTTTGTCATGGTGCGTGTTCCTAATTTCACCAGGATTTTGGTCCTTGTGGATCTTGAAAGGTATTGTTGCTTCGCTTTTTATGGATCCAGTGCCATTTTGATGGAAGATGATTTCGGATGATGCCAGGTCTAGTGGCAAAAGCGAACATGTCATATAATCTCATATGTTTCACGTGGTTCTGGGTTCGTATCTGTTTACTGTAGTACCAAATTAGTTATTTTAAGGGGACAAAGCCCTATTTTGTCTTCATTTTACACATGTTGATAAGGCAAATCTTACGTAGTGACGGTGTTACAGATCCGGGTCCTAGATATCTTGCTTTTCTGACTCTCTGTTCAGATGTTTCTATCAGCTGGCAAGAAGTAAAATAAAAAAATGGGAAGGCAGAAAATATTTTTGTCCATTTACATATTGTCCACATCCGACTAAAACTTGTAACAAATAACCAAGTATAATCATCAACATTTACTTTTAGGATAGTGCTATTCATATTTTTTTTTTATGCTTTTATACATTTTTATTAATTTTTGTTCATTAATTTGTTTTAATTTATTTGATCCATAATTGAAAATTAAAAGAGGTGTATGATAAGTAAACATTGGTGTACATACCTATATTAATTATGAAATTAACTTTGTAACAAAAAACAACTGTAATATCCATACAAATTGGGTTTTACCTATCTGTGATCCTTCTCCCTCACATGTCAATATTGCATTGTGGAATGCCTGGCCATATGGAGAAACTGCTAGAGCAGCAGCGGAATCGTGTGTAAGATAACATGACATCTACAAAATTTTAATTTCAATTATTCTAATTAGCTAGAAAATCATTGGTCGTCCAATAGGGGTTTGAAAGACATTCATTGACCACTATTTTCGAGGCAACGAAACTTTTCATTGCGCAATATAGTTCTTTTCTGCGCAAAATTGGGTGTCAAATTCTCAATTTACCGCTAATTTTTTCGAGTCTTTAACAATAAACAAAAACTATCGTTGAGCAAATCATCCTCGCCCAACGAACTTTCTCGTCAAGCAAAGGTTTTGGATTTTTTTTTTTTTTTTTTTTGAGAGACATTTTGCACAACGGCATACATATTTTTTGTCATGCAAAGTTTACATGAGCACAAAATTTACTTTGTCGCCTAAAGTTTTGTCATGCAAGTAGTTTTTCTACTAGTCCAATAATTGAGAATCTACTTTACAAAAGAGGAGACGACGTCACCCACGTGGGGAAATTTATGAAAGATATTGCAAGTTGCTTCGCTTTTTATGGACCATCAAATATGGTATGTTTTGTGTGGGTGTAATGCTGCACTACCAAATTAGGTTATTTTAAGGTTATTTTAAGAGGGGTAGGTAATGCTGCACTACCAAATTAGGTTATTTTAAGGGGATAAACGCCAACCGGGTCTTCATTTTCCACATGTTGACAAGGGAGATCTTACGGGATGACTCTGTTACAGATTCGGGGCCCTAGATTTCTGGCTTTTCTGATTCTGTCTTTCATACGCATATGGGTGTAGCTGTTGTCTTTTTAAAATTTAAAATTTATGTTTTAAAACTGGTTACATATTTTTTAAATAAAAATATTCAAAACCAAAAGGAGAATAATTAACCCCCCACCATGTGTGCCTGAACATTGATTTAAAACATGTAAAATTACCATTGTGTTCCTATTTTGTTTGAGTAGTTGTTGATTATACTTTTCTATCAAAATGAAAGATTCACCAGATTTGTTACCGAAGATAAAACCATCACCAGATGGACTAACTTTCCAGCTGTGCTTCTGCCTATTTCAATTCATTAAAAGAATACATTTTTCAATGGATAATGTTAGGGAAATTAAATTTGTAGATAAACTTTTGCAAATTAAATGAGATGGAAGTTGATGATTAGATTACGATTTAAGTCATAAATGTTCTCATTCCTATTGGTGGTACATTGTTTAGTTTGTAAATTTTATCTACAAATTTAGTCTCTCTAACATTATGTTTTCTTAATAATTTAACATACATTTCCCCTTCAAACTCATTTCGACAACTCTACCACTAACTTTGAATTTATGGAAGACGAATAATAGCTACATCTAGCCTCTTATCATACACATATGTGCGTGGTATTTTGATTTTTTATATTAAATTATGTTTTTAGGATTGTTTTTTTGTTTAAAAAAATGAAGCAAAGCCATGACACCGCAATCGTGGTTTTCTTTTTTCGAATTATTTATTTGGGTAAATTTCACTTTAGTATCCTTAAGTTTCATGGTTTTCAACATTTAGTACATGAAGTTTTTTTTTCATCCCAGAGTCATACCTAAAGTGTTAATTTTGGAATAGTCTTATACATCTGTTAATCTGACTGTTAAGTTTTCTATTAACTGATGACGTGGTGCCATGTGGACAATGACTGGGTGCCACGTGTCATTAAAAAAAATTAATTAAATAAAAGTTGGAAGAAAAAAAAAAACCCAGAACGCCTTTGTCTTCCCCGAAAACCCAACCCCTTCCCTTCCCCAAAAAATCTAGGTGCCGCAAGAGGGTTTGACGACTATCCAGATTGGTACGACGATTGAGGAATGGAATAAAGGCCATCCCCACCGCCAGCATCGGAGACTGTGGAGGTTCCGGCAGTACCTGGGATCTTCCCGAATTCCTCGATCCTAGAGCTTCGAGTTTTCCTCGTATCCACTTGTTGTGCCAAATTTTCCTCTACAGGCTTCTCCTCTATAGCTTTAGTCTTCAAAACCTTAGCTCTGGGTGGTCGGCCCCTTCCTCGTTTCCCTGCAACCTCAATTTTCTCAACATTCACTCTCTCTACCTCCGCTATCTCATCGCTCTCTTTCGCAACCCTACCTCTCCTTCCCCGACTCTCCGAAACCAGCACCGCAATAGCTTCCACTGCCGTCGCCAAACGCCTAGGGTTCCATCTCAATCGACTCTCTTCGTAGTTGGCGATCCTTACCTCGACAAAAGTGTACTCACCGATTTTGATTTCGTTGCCGTCGGTGAGATCCACAGGCGTATTTGGGGGGATATCCGACCTATTCAAAACAGTGCGATTTAAGGAGTCAAGGTATCGGAGAACCCATTTGCCTGATTCAGATTCGATGAAGAGGTGCTTAAAGGAAATGCCGGAGTCTTTGATCGGGAGGTTGTTGCCCCGAACAACACGGCCGATTCGGACCTTGGATCCGGGTATAAATTCTAAGGTTTTGCCCTTTCGCGGACCTTGAACCATAACCAGTTTGAGAGTTGAAGGCTCTATTTTTGGCAGAGAAGAAATGAGGGGAAACAGTTTTTGAGTTTTGAAATGCTTTTTAGAGTGAATGAGGAGATCGCGAGCTCAAGGTCCCAGCCATGGGTGTTAAGGATCTCCACGCACAAATCGGAGTCTTCGAGGCCTGTGATCGCTTGGAAATACGCTAACTTGCTCACATCTACCATTTCTGCACGCAAGTTAGGGCTTTCTCTGGGAGCTGTGGAGGGGATTGAGGGGTGTTAGGTGGGGAAGACGAAGGTGTTCTGGTTTTTTTATTTTTAATACTTTTATTTAATTAATTTTTTTAATGACACATGGCGCCCAGTCATTGTCCACATGGGCATCACGTCATCAGTTAATGGAAGACTTAACAGCCATACTAATGGATGTATAAGACTGTTCCAAAATTAACACTTTAGGTATGACTCTAGGACTAAAAAAACTTCATATACTAAATGTTGAAAACCACGAAACTTGAGGGTAGTAAACTGAGATTTACCTTATTTATTTTGTTTAAGATTTTAATTTCATTCAAATTGTTCTAAATTTACCATTTTGTCCCTCTCTAATTAAATAGTAATATTTTAAATATCTAATTATTGGAGGGTATTTTATAGTATTTTAAAAACTTCACTTTCTCCTTCTCATTTTATATGTTGACATGTTTCTATCAGCTGACAAGAAGTAAAATAAAAGGGCAGCAAATATTTATCCATGAATTACCTTTGTCATAAGCTAGGCGACGTCATCCCCACTAGTAACAGCGAAAATGATGTTGGCTCTCATCAGGGAAAATAGTTGTGTGGTCAACGTCTGTCTCATGAATAATATATAGGATTTTAGACCCCATAAATATAGGATTTAAATCTCATCAATCTGTGCTTAAGGATCCCTTAAGTAATGATAATGAAGCAAATTATATGGGGATTAATTGTAAATTAAATAGTTATCATGTAGTAGATATCATGTGTATGAAGCACCCTACACACAATTTGCTTGTCTCATTAAACCATAATACTCTGGTAAATTTTGAGTATGAAAAAGGGTAAATTACCATTTGGCCCCTTAAATTATTTGAAATCAGCCAATTGATCCTTTGTTGGTAGATTTCATCCCTTATTTGGTCAAATTTAATGAAAAATTAGTCTTTCATTCATCAATTCTTACTTGTCAACTATAACCACCAATGAACTTATGACATTTGAAAACGAAAACAAATTAATGTGTAATGACAATGTGAGATAGTCTGTCACTTAAAAATTTGGTTATTTTATGTTTTCTCATTATTTTATATGTTTTGAATTATTTTGTGCCAAAGTGTCAAAATTTTATTGATGGTTATAGCTGACAAGTAACAATTGATGAGGAAATGACTAATTTGGCCTTGAGTTTTATGGAATTGATTATGCAATCTAATGGTAAGGGTTTAATTGATTGATTTTAAATAGTTCAGTGGGCTAATTTATCAACATAATAGTTTAGAAGGTCAATTTCAACTAAAGTAATAGTTCAAGAGGTCAAACCGTAATTTTTTCTAGGAAAACTAGATGTCTTGGTATTCTTGAATACAGGACTTCAATGAAATAAAAAAAGATAAAGTCTCAGCCTAGGTAAGTGTACAAATGCATTTTATTTTCTTATTTGAAACAAAAATTAAAGAACACATAATTATATTGTTAATGCTCCAGTTCCATGATGATTTGTATGATGATAATTCCAGGATTAATGGCTAACGTTAGAAACATCAAACTCCAATTGAGATTACGCGTCAAATGTTGAAATCAATTTGTCAGTCCCCTCCGACTTGATCTGTCAATTTATTATACGAAATGTTAACATAACACGTAAACAATACAAAAATATGAGTTTTGAGTCAACACAATAACTAATCGGATTGTTATTAGATCACACAATAAGAACCCGTTAATAATAAGGTTTTAATGGGTTTACACAAAAGTGAGACGTTGGTAGCCCGTTTTGACACGTTAAGGAAAAAGTTATTGTGATAATTTTAATTTTTTTAAACTACTAAAAATGACACACTCCGACCCGAAATGTCTACGGAGACATCCAAATTGTGATGTGATGGTTGACACCCAGAAGGTGACGAAGCCATAAAGCGTAGTGATGTGAAAAAATATGAATAAATTAAAACCTAAAAGTAACTAATTTAGAGTGCGCATGTGAGCGGGATTGAATTTATATCACAATAGTGATGTCAGGGTATAGATAAATTGCAGTAAAAGAAAAGTAAGGACATTTATACTGAAAAGAGGAGTCTCCTACGTAACAACTTTTACCAACAATCATCTTCATCACGAAACCTCTGCCACTAAAATCCTGGAGAGGCGAAAAAATAAGGTGAGTGAGCCTGAAAATAATTATAAATAAAATTCATAATTATTAATGTACAAGTCTGAAAAATGTGAAAGTATTTATAAATGCTTGTGGTTGGGTCCTTTACACTTAGACGATGATTACATGGTCATTTAGTTTTTTAAAACCCTCCAAATCTCTTGAATAATACTTTTTATTTGAGTGCAAAATAATAATAATTATTGTAGGAGTGTAAAAATGTAAAATATATGTATACACACACACACACACAACCACTCATAATGACAAACTTTATAACTTTCGTGAAGGGGCAACTCCGAAATCGACATCATAATCCATAAATCTTAGATTTAAATTTAACCGTCGATTGTTGTTTACGCTTTATTCTATTCATCGAATTTCAATTTTTATATTTTCGTTATTTATTGATTTAAAATATATTTTTAACGGATGACGGGTCGGGTCATATTACCTGATATTATTAACGGGTTGATTTAGGATCGGATCATATTACTCGTTCACTTTAAAAGAATGTTACACGACACGACCCGCTAAGATATCATGACATACCTCGACTCGGAATATCTGCTAGAACTTCTAATCGAGCTGTGTTGGGCGACATCAGGAAGGTGACGAAGCCATAAAGTGTAGTGATGTGGATAATGTGAATAAATTTAAACCTAAAAGTACCTATGTCACATCTCGGCCCGGGGCGAACCACTTCCCAGGCCCGCTCCACCACAGTAGCACGATATCGTCCGATTTGGGCCCCCACCACGCCCTCACGGTTTTGTTTCTGGGAACTCACACGAGAACTTCCCGATGGGTCACCCATCCTGGGAGTGCTTTTGCGTGCTACTCGCTTAACTTCAGAGTTTTAATGGAACTTGAAGCCAGTGAGCTTCCAAAATGCCTCGTGCTAGGTAGGGATGAGAATATACATTTAAGGATCACTCCCCTGGGCAATGTGGGATGTTACAATCCACCCCCCTTAGGAGCCCGACGTCCTCGTCGGCACACATGCGGCTAGGGTTAAGCTTTGATACCAAATTGTCACATCCCGGCCCGGGGCGAACCACTTCCCGAGCCCGCTCCACCACCGTAGCACGATATTGTCTGCTTTGGGCCCCCACCACGCCCCTCATAGTTTTGTTTCTGGGAACTCACACGAGAACTTCCTGATAGGTCACCCATCCTGGGAGTGCTCTCACGAGCTACTCACTTAACTTCAGAGTTACAACGGAACCTGAAGCCGATGAGCTCCCAAAAGGCCTCGTGCTAGGTAGGGATAAGAATATACATTTAAGGATCACTCCCCTAGGCGATGTGGGATGTTACAGCCTAAATACAAGAGTGTGTTGTGAGCGGGAATGAACCTATTTCACATGTGACGTTAGAGCATAAGTAAAGTATAGTAAGATAGGATAAGGATTATACCCTCAAAGATAGCCACCTATATTGAGATTTGCCTAGAATCCTTGTCGATACAAAGTTTAGCAGCTAAAACTTGGAAGGGCAAAAATCAAGGGTGAGTGGGTTTGAAAATAAAGTTTTAATAAAAACCTTGGAAAATGTTATAACCCTTTGCTGTAAAACATGTATGGTTTCCAAAATATACATACTATGTATAAATGAAAATACTTACTGTAGCCTGCAAAACGTAAATAAGGCATGACATCCCAAAATCACAAAATCTTAACAGTAATATAAGTAAAATCAGGTGCTCAACAACTTATGCTAGCACACTAGTCGGAGTCGCCTAATGCGACCTGTACGATTGCACCTATGGCTCATCAATCTATGCTAGCACATGAGTTGGAGTCGCCTAGTGCGACTTGTATGAAATGACTGGGTGTATAATATACGCTATTGTGCTATGATCACATGAAGACTGGCGTTATGCGCGATCACCTACCAGTCGGAGTCGCCTAATGCGACCTGTACGACAGGACTGGTAGCTACTTAGATCCAAGGCGAGCGTGCGATGAGGGAGGTGAACATACACGTGAAGGACTGGCCCTGGCCTAGGGCGAACACTAACACCAGGGTGCAACAATGATGACCAAGCTACATGAATATAAGCATGCCACAACTATTCAATGATTCTAATCAACATCATAAACTTACTTGAACTTACCTACTCATCCCGTAGGATCATTTTGGCATTTCACAATAGTGCAACATTTCTTATAACATTATTTAATCATGGCATGATATGCATAAATCAATTCAAAAATATTTGTGAAAACTGTAAAGTTTATATATATATATGCACACACACACACACTATAAAAAGAAAAAGACCCACTCACCTGAAGTCCACGCTACAACTTCCTAGCATGAATATCGAGGCGTCACAAATGATCGTCGCCTTGAACAAATATCAAATCACATCTCAAAATTTTTATTGATAGAACATGTAACTTGCATGAAACACATCCCAAATGATGTTCTAGAATGATTTGAAATTCATTGACCAAGAGTCAACCGTTGGTCAAAGATCGACGGTAGGGTCCACAACCCTACGTAACTCAATCCGGAAGATCCGTACCTTGGATTTCCGATGTGTAACTTCCAAATATCCACATTATGCTTCTAAAACAACATACTAAAATCTTACCACAATTCGACGGTCGGATCTC